GGCTGGCTGGCCCCCAATAGGCCCCCTCACCCCAATCGTGGGTGGGGCCTGCCAGCCAATCACCCGCAGCCCCTCCCCCTAGCTGGCCCGGCCGTGATCCACCCCGACTGGGGCCGGGCTGGCAGACACCACCCATGCTTGAATTTGTGCACTGGGCCTCTAGTAAATTCAATAAAAAGGAAAAATTAAAACATTAAATAAATAAATAAAACTGAAGGTCAGAGATGAAATAGTTTGCCTAAAGCCAAAGTTAGTGGCAGAACCAAATTTTAAAAAGAATTCTGATTCCACATATTCCCACAGACTCATCAGCAATTCATAACAGAAAAAAAAACCTCAATTATGTTACTAACCTGACAAACAAATTTGACATCTGGTGAGGATCTATTGAAGGGTTTCGGGAAAACATAGAAGTTAAATGACTTTATTATATACCTGGGAAAACAAGATATACAAGGAGATTTAGGGGGTTACATTATGCCAAAACAAAAGCATTCCCACCACTTGTTAAAAAAACCTACTTTGAATGTATGCAGTCATACTTAAAAGCGCAAAGGCCAAATTGAAACAGCAAAAAGTCCATGGAATGCTGGAAAAGGGAAATAAAACATCTGTCAAAACAATGCTGTATATTTTATGTAAGCAACAATATTCTCAATCAGGTGGGCTTTCTAATTATTCAATTTGACTTTGGCAGAATACTTCGGATTAGAACAGATTACAGATTATGTATTAGAAGCATTATTAATTTATATACATCTCTTAATGTTCTTCCCAATTAGGTACCTATCCACCATCCAGAGCATCATATTAGGCCTATTTCCAAATTACTAAAATCACCACATCATACTTCCTATAAATCAAATTAACACTGAAAATACTAAACCTTCTCCCAACATGTTTTCCAGCAAACAATTATTTTTGCTGTTGTTTTAAACAACACTAAAGTATCGTTTCATAGCTCGGGTTGAGAAGTCAATGTGCAAGTTTAATGATTGTATTTCTCTGTAATTCAATGTAAGGAGGACCAACATGGGGGAGGGGCGTTTCTAGCACATCCACTTACCTTTTTGAGCTTCTGGTACCTCTCTTCCGGAGTGTCAAAACCATTTGTTAATGTGGTGACTGAAGGTCCATCACTGATTCCTAGATTTTAAGAAATAAAAGCTTTTAACTTATTAGTAAATACTAATGTAAAAATGTCAGTCAACTATTCAATGGCTCTGTAATTTTATATTCTCATGTATTACAAAGTGCTCCTTACTTCACTTTTTCAAAATTAGCATTCATTTCACTGGCCACCAAGCTAAACTCTATAACACATTTAGAAATGTGAATATTTCTATTTCAGAATCGGCAGTTCCGGTGTCTAAAATAGGTTTCAAAACACAGGAATGATTTAAGAAAACAATATCTATGATTAAGTTTTGCTGCTTTCAAAAGTTTAATGCATAATCAGATATCAACAAATTCTGATGTCTATTATTGTTAGAGTCCCAGTCTTGGCCAACAGTTTGAAGTAACATCTATACAACAAAGGTATTTTCCAAGTCAAGAGAAAATTATTTCTAGTGAAAACTCTTAGCTTCCCAGAGAATTGAGTCCAACTAGAAAAGGCATGTATGTATAATTAAAGCCAAGGATCTACAGGATGTCCCCCAAAAATGTATAGACACTTTGAGATTACAAAGTCAGTATTTATTAGCATACAGTTCATTTTCAAAATTTCAAAGAATCAATAGAAATGAATGTGTATACATTTTGGGGGGACACCCTGTATTTACTCCCAGCATGGATTCCTTTAGAAAGAGCTGAAGAGTTTTTTAAACATGTAAAATCAGAGTGAAAATGGATATCTGAAACAAAGAAAGTCTGCTGTTCATATTAACTTTAACAATTTAAAAATTTATCTCTAAAAAAAAAAATTAATCTCTGATCCAAAAAGAAAAAATCCTTGCAAGTGTACGTGTTGGTAAAGTATTATACACATACACACCCACGCCAAGGTAGACAATGAACACTTCCACAAATGCTTAAAGCCTGACCCAGAAGTCAGTCACAGAGGACAAACATTGTATGATTCCATTTATAGGCAGTGCCCCGAGTAGTCAAATTCATAGAGACAGAAACAGTGGTTGCCAGAGCAGGGGAGGAGGGAGGACGTGGGAGTTGTTCAAAGGGTATAGCAGTCCAGTTTGGGAAGGTGAAAAAGTTCAGGAGATGGTTGCACAAAAATGTGAATGGACTTAATGCCACTGAACTATTTTTAAATGGCTAAAATGGTCAATTTTATGTATGTATTTACCTAAAACACACACCCACACACAAAAAAAGAGCCTGACCCTAACCCTGAAGCAGCACCAAAACCATATTCTACCCCCAACCCTCAGAGCCCCAACCATCAAAAACCCGCTCCCCTGCCTTTGAAACGCGTAAGAGGAAATGCTGAGGCTCGTGGAACTTCTCCAAGGCGACTAACAGGGGGAAGGGCCGGAGGGCAGAAGGCAGGGCAGGGTGTCAGGAGGAGCCCCGGCCCCGCGCTGCAGGTGGCTGGCCGCGAGCCTGCAAGGAGGGATACCTGAAAACTCCCCATCGATGGCAAAGAAGTCCGCCTCCTCTATGGCCTGGTACACTTTGTGAAGATGACTCTTAAAATCTGCGGAGAAACCGAGAAACTCAGAACCGGGGGCTTGGCTTTCTGCCCACACACGCCTAAGGGGAGAGGGGAGGAGGGCCCAGGAGCTCCTAAGGCCTGGGGCCCGAGGACCAGTGTACTGGGCGGGGTGGGGGGGGCGGGGATGCAGGGAACCTAGAGCGTCCAGGCCCTAAGGGGTGCATGGGCACTGAGGGTGTACGGACCAGGGAGGAGCAAGGGCCTGAGGGGGGCACGGGCCAGGGAGGGACAAGCGCCCGAAAGGCACGCAGGCTTAGGGGGGGCACACTCGGGCGAGGCTGCCTCAACCCCAGGCCCCACCAAGCAGATTGGCGGGCCGTGATCCCGGCCTAGAAGGCCGAATGAGGGGGGACCGTGGGGGACGCGGGGGAGGTTCACGGCCGACACCGCACTGCTCCTGATTATCTCCATTCCGTAGGGTGGCCGGAAGCCGGGCCGCCCGGGCCGCCTCGGCCGTTCTACTCGCGGAGTTCCGCAGCGACGGCAGCGGGCGGCTGAGGTACCAGCTACAGAGATCTCAGCGGCGATTTCCGGGAACAGCGCGCGGCGGCGCGCAGTCACGTGCGCCAGCGTCACGGTAGGGGCGGGGCCAAGGCGGGGCTTCCCTCACTCCTTCCAGGGACAGAGGAGGGGCGTGGCTATCGAAGTCCCTAGCCATAGGCGATCTAACTTAGGAGGCCAGGTCGTGGGGCGTTCTGTTTGGAAGAAATATGCATGCCCTGACATCCAATCAAGGAACAAGTATTTCCTGGGTTCCTATTATATTCCAGGCACTCTGGAAGGAATGCGGATACAGTGATGAACAGAAGACAAGGTCGCTGGCCCCACTGGAGCTTAACTTGGGGGAAGAGGGGAAAGTCAAGCAGGAATCAAACTTGCCACTTGGAAGCATGATAATCTTTTGAAGAGAAAGAGCAGGATGATATAATAATAATAATAATAATAATAATAATAATAATAATGTGAGAGTGTTATTTAAAAAGGTAATGAGGGCCCAGCCAGTGTTGCTCAGTGATTGAGTTTGGACGTATGAACAGAAGTTCCCGGTTCTATTCCAGTGAGGGCACATGCCTGGGTTGTGGTCTGGATCCCCAGGAGAAGGCCTGCAGGGGGCAGCAGATCAGTGATTCTTTCTCATCACTGATGTTTCCATCTCTCTCTCCCTTCCTTTCTGAAATCAATAGAAATACATTTTTAGCGGCCTGGGAACTGAAGGGCCTGGGACTGGAGGGTCCCGGGTGCCATTCCAGTCAAGGGCACATGCCCGGGTTGGGGGCTCAATCCCCAGTAAAGGGCCTGGGGGAGGCAGCTGATCTATAATACTTTCTCAACATCGATGTTTCTATCTCTTCCTCTCCCTTCCTCTCTGAAACCAATAAAAATCTATTTTAGAAATATATACATATTTTTTTAAATTAAAAACATTTGTGTATCAAAGGACACTATCCAACAAGGTGAAATGGCAACCCATGCATGGAATGGGAGAAAATATTTGCAAATCATATATCTAATAAAGGGTTAATATCCGTAACATATAAAGAATTCCTACAACTCAGCAACTCAAAAACAAACAATCCTATTACAAAATGTACAAAGGACTTGAATAAATATTTATCCAAAGAAGATATACAAATGGCCAACAAGCACATGAAAAGATGATCAATGTCACTAATGCAAATCAAAATCACAATGAATTGCCCTAGCCATTTTGGCTCAGTGGATAAAGCGTCGGCCTGTGGACTGGGGGGTCCCGGGTTCGATTCCGGCCAAGGGCACATGCCTGGGTTGCGGGCTTGATCCCTAGTAGGGGGCATGCAGGAGGCGGCTGGTCGATGATTCTCTCTCATCATTGATGTTTCTATCTCTCTATCCCTCTCTCTTCATCTCTGAAATCAATAAAAATATGTTTTTAAAAAAAATCACAATGAGTTACCATTTCATATCCATTTTTTGAGAAATTAGAACTTCCTGCACTGCTGGTGGGAATGTAAAATAGTGCAGCCACTATGGTCGTTCTTAAAAAATTAAAAATAGAATTATATGATGCAGCAATTCCACTTCTGGGTATACACCAACAGAATTGAAAGCAGAGGTTTTTGAACTTCGCAAAAAAATACCCTATGTAAAGTACACTGCGGACTTGTAATATTATTCTAATTTCTGTGTAAATCTAATTTGCTCCAGACTCAGAAACAGCAGCCAGGCTGGAGGGAACACACATACAGGAACCTCAGCCTCGGGGTGTTACGCACTGTCCCTTCGGGGTCCCTGAAGAGGAAGGGGCGGGGCCGATGTTGCTACGCATGCGTCGAGCTCCTCGGCGGGGAGTGGCCGCTCTAGGCAGCGGGGAGGTCGCAGGGTGGGGGAGCTGGGAAACAAGTGCGACCTTTCCTCTATGGTCGGAGCCCCGGGCACCTTCCCTGGCGCCTTAGGTTACTTCCGGAAGTGAAGCTGCCACCTCCTCTACTTCCGCGGGGTCCAGCCTGGGGCAGCGGACGGGTGGGCCCCGGCTTGAGCGCAGTGGTAAGCAGCCGCGCGGCGGGTGATAGCGAGAGGGCGACCCAGGCTCGAATTCGGGGCGGGGTGTACAGAACGGGCGTGAGGTTCGAGGTCCGAGGAGGCGCGCGGGGCTTTCTTGATCCAGGCCCGAGTTCTGAGCAACCTCAGCCCTGGCCTTGAGGTGTAAACCCCCCTCTTGGCCAACTTCCCCCATCCCTTCCCGGGAGCCCTACGTCGGCACGGCGGGTCGGCGGGCCTCGCTGGTGTCCCCTCGAGGGTCAGCACAGCCTGTCGCTCCGGCATCTCCCCAGGGCGAGAAGGAGGGGGTGTCGCTTCCACGATGAAAGGGGACGACTGGCGTCCCCGAGGAGCACCTGCCGCAGCCTGCGACAATGCGATCAGAATTTATTAGGCTCCTGATAAATGCCAGGCTGGGCTTCAGGTCTAATTGGCGAGGCACTACCTGCCACAAAACGGAACGATTGCTCCCGTTTTAAAACGGGATAACGGGCGCGCAGAAAGGCGAAAGTGAAATCGCACATTCACACTGGGGATGGGCTAGACTAGAACCAGCTCTGTGGTTCCGTACTTACGGGCAGAAATCTGAACTTGTGCAAAAGGGAATTTTATTTTTTTAAAAAATAGGCAAATGAGATTCAGGCTGTGTGTCTAACGGAATCTTTGGCAGGCAGGGCCTGTCAGTGCCCCAGGCGGCTGCCCTCCTACTTTGGTGAAGAGAAGTGAGTCAATAGCTGTTGTGCCCTCAAATGTCGCCGTTGGGTCCTCCTCACCGAAGCCCATTGGTTAGTCCATTGGGGGTTGCCTTTATGTCACACTCTGAAAGGCCAATAGGAAGGAGGTTTACTCCCCCTTCCAGCCCCCCAAGGCACACCCGAGTCCTTTCCGAGCGCACGTGCGTAGTGAATTGTTTGGTTTGTTTATGTTATGGCTGTTTTGTTTCCTGCCTATCTCCATAAACTTGATAAAATACTGTTTCTCCAGTTCTATATTCTTTCTTTCCTCTTTTTTTTTTTTAAAAAAAGCTCTAGTGCTTGGTGCTGGCACTACTTATATAGCTGGCACTCAGTAAGGACAACTATTAATTTTAATACCTATAGACCATACAGTAGTTTCTATGGTTAGAAGTTATCACTTAAGCCTCCTTCAGAGTATATATATATATTTTTAAATATATTTATTTTATTTCAGAGAGGCAGGGAAAGGGAGAGAGATAGAAACATCAATGATGAGAGAATCATTGATTGGCTGCCTCCTGCACATCCCCCACGGGGGATCTAGCCCGCAACCTGGGCACGTGCCCTTGACTGGAATCGAACTCGGGACCCCTCAGTTCGCAGGCTGACACTCTATCCATTGAGCCAAACAAGCCAGGGCCGGAGTATATATTATTATCCTGAACTTATAAATGGGAACTTAGAGGCTCAGGGAGAATAAATGAGACCTGCTTTGAAACCCAGGTCTCTCATTCTGGAGACTATACTGACTGAACTATACCAGCTTCTCCAGGGAAATTACAGTCTTTGAGATGAGGAAACATGCACAGATAAAAGTTACTGGTATATTAATGCACAGAGGCAGGAAGGGTTAATGGGGGAGGGGGGAATATAGTCATTAAAGACGTTCAAATAAAAAGTTAATTTGGGTCTTGTCAGCTGGACACTTGGCTTAGATGGTGTGGAGCTGTGTTACAGATGGAGGGAACAGTATGATATGGAAAAATGAGCAAGGAGCAGAAATTAATATGTGGGACTAGAGTATGAATAGGTGCATAGTAGGGGATAATCACAATAATAATAATAGTTAACACTTAAATTGCACTATGGGCCAGGCACTATTCTCAGAGCTGTGTACATGCTAATTCATTTAATCAACAACCCTATCAGGAAGATACTAGAATATCCCCATTTTACAGATGAGGAAACAGGAACAAAGGCTAAGCGATTTGCCTGAGGTCACACAACAAATAATTGGTGGAACTGGCTTGAGGAAAGGAAGGGCTTGGTCAGAATTGTGTTTCAGGAGGATGGTTTGGGCAGTGGTGAGTGGAGGGACTAGAGAGAGGAGCACATGAGATTAGTAGTGTTACTGAAACTGTTCTGTTCATACCTTACCCATATGTTGTCTGAAACATATATTTAGGGCATATAAATGTTTTTTGTACAGACCTACATCAGAGTAAACTCGGGCCGATTGTAACTGCGTATTACCAAATATTTGTTTGTAATCCACCCTTTTGGTGGATGGAACAAAACCAAAAGACAGAGCCATCTTATATTTTGGCGGGAAATTCACCCGCACTCCAAGTGTAAATAGAAGCACAATAAAAGGCGATGTTCCTGTACAGAACAGCTGTGTAGTTACCAAACTTCTGTGTGCATACGAATCTCTCCTGAGGGGCTTGTTTAACATGTGCATTCCTGAGCCTCCCTCTCAGATATTCTTTGGTGATATCTTCTTCCCCTCTGAAAGGCCAATAGGAAGGAGGTTTACTCCCTCTTCCAGCCCCCCAAGGCACACCCCAGAGTCCTTTCCGAGCGCACATGCGTAGTGAATTGTTTGGTTTGAGCACTCTGGAAGTTGTTATGGATATTAACCAGCATTTACTATCATCAAACTTCCCAGGTGATTCTGATGGAGGATCTAGGAAATTACTGTGTTAGGGAGTCAATTTTTGTTGATTTGATTTTCATTTACAAATTTCTGGAGCCCAGCTTTGTGCCTGCAACTCAGGGGTGATGATGGAATTCTGTCAGTTGGTTTCTGACCTCAGGATTTGGTCAAAGAGGCAAAGACTACTCAAACAGTAATGTGCAAAAAGTGTAAGAGCAAGCTAAACCTGAAAAGGACATGTCAGTTTTTAATATGTGAATCATAATAGAATCGCTTATAAACAAGAGTTATAAGTATAGTTTACTGGTACTTACCAGTAGTTTTTTGATAACTTTCTGAGTTATTGTATTTCTACAGCATTTAATACAGGATAGGTCATTGAATATATGCTGTGTAACAGAAAAGAAAGAGGACAGTCTCTAGAGAGAGCCAGGACACCCTTCTCAATGTGCTCTTTCTTCTTGCTCAACACCACTAATAGGCAGTAAATCACGGGTGCAAAAGTTCAGGCAGCAAGTCAACATCCAGTGAGCTACTAGCCACCTTTGTCCTAGTGATTTCTGACCTCATCCAGAAAGAAGATCTATTTGGAGCCAGAGAAACACAAGGTTCTGTATGCTAAGAGCCTGGAAATGCTTCTCTTGTAAAGGCTTCTCTTAAGGAAAGCCAATTTTTGCCACCTGCCAGAAGTGCACGTAAGTCTCTTTTATTGCCATTGCTGACTCTTGCCCTGCTTACATTTGGGCACTTTTTTTTTTTTAATTTCATAGTCACTAGAAATGCGTAGTCACTCTTTGAACATTTACTAATGTCTGTAGTATTTGGGTAGTGTTTATAGTGATGTCCCCAGAGGTGGACTTGGGTGCCAGAAATGGGGTGCTCCCAACCACCCTCACCCCTATTTCTATTGTGAATGTTTGCTTATTTATCTCCTAGACAGCATACTCACTTTAGGAGTCACATGTGAGAGTTCATGTTTCAAAATGCAGTGTTCTTAGATTCTAGTTTGTTTTCACTAGTTTGGACTTCTCAGCTTTGCAATAGCAGCTCTCTGATGTGGCCTTGATAATAAAGCAGCAACTCGGTCCTTTGAACTAATAACTGTTATTGATTACATTATTGGGATAATGTAGTGTTATGAGGACAAACTTTTAAGTCAGACCAGGATTTGGGCCTCCATTTTCTTGTCTATAAAATAGAGATGATAGTAATAATTATCCCTTGGGATTCTTATGCCTTTCACATTTAAGGGCTCGGTAAATGTTAGCAATTGTCAATATTCTCTGATGTCAGGTAATGTGTATTGAGAAGAAATGGTCTAATTAGAGGCCCATATAAAGCCAAAATATTTTTATTCTTGTAGTGAACAGCTCTGCTAAGAAATGATTGAGATCATAATTTTCAGGCTAGAATCCCTATAAATTTGCCCTTCAAAGAATTATTCCTAAAGCATTAGGTATGTACTCTAATCACAACAAGTGTCTTGTTGAATGAAGAGGTAGAATTATAATTATATACCACTGAACAAACCAGTTTGAAGATTATGATCTCTTAGAGTAGAGGTCGGCAAACTCATTAGTCGACAAAGCCAAATATCAACAGAACAACGATTGAAATTTCTTTTGAGAGCCAAATTTGTTAAACTTAAACTATATAGGTAGGTACATTGTTATTAACTTAATTAGGGTACTCCTAAGGCTTAGGAAGAGCCACACTCAAGGGGCCAAAGAGCCGCATGTGGCTCATGAGGCGCAGTTTGCCAACCACAGTCTTAGAGAATTAATAATCATTACATAATGAATCTTTATAAGCTAAGGTGTAAAAATTCTTAACTTGAACTCAGAATTAATGCATTCTTTTGTTATAAACTCAATAAAATGTATTAATTGAGTGCCTGTTGGGTGACTAAAGAATCAAACAGGTAACAGCATAGTAATCATGAGATAGTAGCCCTCTGGATACTGACCAGATCAGATAACTTTGCTTCCAAAGGAGGAATAGCCAAGTTCATTCCAGGTTCTTTCATTACATAGAATTAATTACTGGGAGATTGTTTGTATCTCAGCCCCCTTTTTTCATAGATTTTTTTCCGATAGCTATACATGCCAATTAGGTATTTCTTTGGAAAACCATAAAAAAAGGTTATGGTGATAGATATCTTAAAATTGCCCATTATTGGAGACTGTGATCATTTTTTCTATCAAAACCAATAGACCAAACCCATGAACATCTTAGAAAAGGTTAACTATACAGTTTGTTCATATATGTGATATTCATGCCATATTTCACATATTAATACTTTTTAAGATTGTATGTCATTTGTTAACACTGAAATTTTAGAGATGGTATGTTCTTCAGGAAGTAATATGTCTCCAGGTGTTTTAAAAGTTACA